GGCGTAGCAGACGGGAGTTCCAACAAATATATTGTTGCGCACCCGCAAATCTTGGAATTCTAGCGCCCACTAGTTTTACTCGTTCTCGGTGCTTGCATTATCTCCGGGTCTCTTATTTAGCTCACATTTGCAAGCACGACTTTTGTCATTGTAAAGTGTATAATTCAGTGGCTTTAACGAAGTCATTAAATGATATCGGGATTGAATGTGAAAGGTACGACAAAGCATTCCTGCATAAAATCGAAAGCCATGGGGGGTCAAACAATCTTTTAATAGCGGCGCTATTCAGAGTAGAAAGTGTGGCACACACAATTCCTGAATTTGAATTTAACAATGGTCAATGTGTTAAGAGTAAGCCTGTCAAAAAGAGCTTCTGATCAGGGAAATTGACACAAGAAAAAAATTCCAGGGAACACACAGGCTAAAAATATTGGATAAAAAAAGGAAAAGACAAACACATTCAATTGAACAAAAGGGACACTTTTACAGAAATGTACTGCCACATCCCGTTGTACGCCACATTTCATTTCTTTTTTCACTCTGTTCATAGGACATGGTACCTTTCATGCTGAACAAATCTTTTTCTTTTTTTGTGATACCCCAGCCTGTGACTCATTATATATGCCGGGGCATGTTCTGCCATGAATTCAAAGAATCTAGCCCAACGGAAGAGTAAACCCACATTTGCCAAGCCCAGGCCCGAACCATTCGACCTCCAAATTTCCAGGGACTTTACTTTTTCCCCAAACGGTTACTGGTTGTGGTTCCTATCTCGTGTACGATAGATAGCATGCATATAAATGTTTTCACAATTCGTTTTGACCATAAAATCCAGCATAGGCGTCCGGTATATTGTGTGAGGATCCTCTTTCCTGCTTATGTTAACTATAAAGAAGACAAGAGAACAGAAACCGATGAAGGAGATAGAACTTACGACTGCGTAATTACCATCCAGGATTGTTTACCACCCGTCTATAAAGCCACTGCCCAAAGCCACTCACTTGGACATCCTTATTCCTTATTACACATAGATGACTAATGATTCTTTCAAGCCTTCGACAAAATAATGAATAATGCATACCACCGAGGCCGCACTCTGTCGATACTGTTGGGTCCTGTTTAGGGGGAAATCATACGTACACTCCCAATTCTAAATATGAAGAGAGGATCCTTTTCTCCTGGAAGTCATTCGGTTTTATTTGCAGGTTTGACCACCAAGTTACTGTTGCAATCATTCCCTAGTGTACAAGTCGATGGTTATTGGTTGCTTGGAAGTTTCACCTACGACCGTGAAATCGGCCACTGCCCATATAACAGCTGGAGAGACGCCTTCAGCGATTGAATCCCATCTGTTATCTGCATTAGTCGATTGAGAATTTCACAGTCATTGTTTTTTTAAGTAAACTTCCTTGTTGCGGTTAGCAGTTGATTTGAATTGTACACAATCATTACTGAGGAATATATTTGTGATGAATCTGCACTCTCCTGGTTGATATTTTGCCCTGCATACACTTTCTCTTTCATATTTGTTCTGTAGCCCCCTCAATAGTTTTTTTTAAACCAGGCTCAATCTGTCCGTTTGTTTCGATCGCCTGTTAGTTTGACTGAAACAATTCAAGTAAAATTTGATGCTGCTATTTTTGTATGTATAGGTGATAACAGACACGGAACCCCACTTTCAAGGTATTTTACCAGAGACTTCAGAAACGAGAGGCAACAGATGACACCATTTTTTACAGTGGCCTGCAATATAGAGTCATGTGCAATATTATCATTCAGAGGTGCAGTGAACTGATATTAAGTGAAATTTCCACTCATTGGTATAAACAGTGCACTACACCCACGGTTTCTTTTCAAAAAGAGTGTCTGGCCGCCTGGAGGGATTGTGGAAATATAGGCCCGGATCACCTGGGTTTGGGGGCTTCCATCCAAGGGTACGGTAGAGCTGATTGAACAATGGACAACGGTCCCCACAGCCCGAGAACGGTAGAGGAAAGTCCGCCAGCAGACTTGGGGATTATCACTTTTCAAGGGGTGAGGTTTTTGATTGTTTTTTTTTTCTTTGTGCGAATGATTAAAATTGTAATTGGCCAACACACCAAAATTTGAAAAGAAATGAAAAGAATTCGGTCATGACTATTTTTTTTAAATTGTATTCTTTTGCTTTTGTTAGTTTGAGAAACTCGAGTAGTGTCAGGTTGTATGTTATGGAGCCTTGAACTTTGTTGATTATACACTGTTTCAATGGGCCTTGAAGGTGAGTTGCGATAGTTTGAGATTAAAAATAGAACATGACTCCGGCCCAGCTGCCAAGAGTTAGCGCTTCGATCGGAATACAAGCTTGTATATATGGGCTTTCAATATTATGATGAACCATTTCCTTGTTACTGAATGATCTGGAGGAAATATTTTTTTTCTGACAGTTCATGTTGCACTTTTTAAGCTATTATGAGTCCTCTTGTTCCCTGACAAACAAAACTGTACACAAAGCACGGGAACTATCAACGGGTGGCGGGCAATGGGTGAAAACTAACAGGATGGTTCTTTGATGGACAACAACCTGCCTAGTCATGAGACGAAAGTAATAGGGGAGGGAAGAGGAAACGTCAATTTTGTTCCAACCTTCAAAAGTGACCCTTCCACCGTAAAAGGTTTATTGTCAGGTAAATGGTAACGAGTACTTTGATTGTTACATTACCTTGACTGGAAACTCCAACTGGAAACTTTTGCTACTCAGACCAGACTATCGCAATACAACACAGGCCTAATCATATACCGGGCCGTTACGTCATCTTTTTAAAGGCGTAGTGTCCGCCTTAAATACCCGATCCGCCAACATGCCGCTGTTCACAAATCACAGGAATGATTTTGTCAGAACGGCACCCAAATACATTATTACCCAAATCTTCACAGCGACAAATTAGGACTGGAAAGAACTTCATAAATAATACCCTCTCAGATTATAGGTCGGTTGCTCGTGCATCAAACTTATACAAGTTATGATGATGCACCTTATCACACTGATTATCGCGTGAACTATTAAGGCACTACAGGTTTCTGGATGAATCTCCCAGATTCGATGCCATTCAAATGCACTAATAACTTATTAAAAGCTACATCTACAAAGAAAAAAAAGGGACGTTCTTATCCTTTTATGATTTTACTACTTATACATTTGCTCTACACATCCAAACACACCCTCTACTGCATCGGCAAAATTTCACATTTGCAAAGTAGGCTGACACTAAATTTGCCATTTTTGCTAGTCATATTACTAATATTTTGTGTCAAATGAGTAGGCACTATAAAATCTCAATGCACTGTAGGCCTATTGTTTCGTTTTTTGGTATAGGCTACACGATATATTACACTAAAATACTTTTATAAGACCTTTTTCAACTTGATGTGTACAAGGATTGGAAAATATCAGGCCCATATTTTTTGGTCCCTTGAACGTGTCCATCACAGATATTACTTTTCACATGATTCATGAACTTGGAGCCTCTAATGTTATGCAACTCCGTTTTTATCCTGTGGTTGATAGTTCTCGGTGCCAGAGAAACAACCTTCCTGTATGCATAATTCAGAAACATATATGGAGCTAAAGCTATAAACAGCCATTGAAGCATTTAATATGATACTTGACCTAAAATGGTCGACATTATTATGTATTCTGAAGCCATCTGTTTTTTAAAAAGGTTTGATGTTACCGGATAAGAATTACAGAACGGTTAAACACAAAATAAAACCAAACTACAATAGGTTACAGAAAAGTCATTACTTTTTCTGGTAGCAATGCACAAACAACTCAATCACAGAATTTTAAGGGTTGTAATACGGACAAAACGCACGCAAGTGAACATTTAATGAGAAAAACGAGAACATAAGCATTTTTTTCGACTACATCCTGATTAATTCCCTGGTAGTTAGAATAATTATTTGTAATGAAATTAGAAATTAAAATCGTGCAATTTCATGACTAACATGACGCAAGGTGAGAAATT